AACCCAAAGAGTTGCACATGTGTCTAATTTATAAACCCATGGCGGTTCTCTGAACCTTTCCATCTACAAACATTATTATTATTTTTATTTTTATTATTGTTGTTGTTGTTTTTGGTTGTTATTTTTATTAATTTTTATTATTATTATATTATTATTATTATTATTTATTATTATTATTATTAATTATTATTATTTTTTATTTTTTATTATTTTTTTATTATTATTTTATTTTTAAATTTTTTATTGTTTTAATTTGGGGAAAACTGAACTCTTTCATAATTAAAAATTTTATCATTATTATTATTATTACATTATTATTTTTTTTGGGGAAATTTTTGGATATTTGCTCAAGTTACCTAAATTTAAATAATAATAATAATAAAAATTTAATAAAAAATAATAATAATAATAATAATAAAAAATTTTTAAAAATTTAAAAATTTAATTAAAATTTAAGAATAGATTCATTTCCCAAAAATTTTTTTACAAAAAATCAAAGAGGAAATTGGGGTAGGTTTTAAAAATGTAGTGTTAGAGTTTTTCAGCAAAGTTTGGGGTTACGGGAAAGGGGTCCCGGGAGGGAAGAGGACCCGATTGGGGGAAATGATGATGTAAAGGAGTAGTAAGGGAGAAAAAATTTTGCATATGGGGAAGTTTTTACAAAGAGAAGTTTATGCAAGGAGGGAAAAGTATATGGAGAAAAAGAGAGAGGTTAAAGAGAGTGGTGAAGCAATGAAAAAGGGGGCAAATGGGGAGAGTGGGTGAGAGTTATCAAAAAAATTTTTTTGAAAAAAAAGAAAAAAATTTTTGGGGTGAGTTTTAAAAAGTTTTAAGGGAAAACCTTTGAGAAAAAAAAATTTTGGGTTTGTCAGTTTAAAAATTTTAGGGGGAGAGTTAGAGGTATTTTGGGGAAAATGGAGGGAATATTTTGAGGAAAATTTTTAATTTTTGTTTTATGAAGATAGGGAAGCTTTTGATTTCGTGGATAAAGGGCCCAAGGGGGAATAACCCTCTGTTTTTAAAGGGGGGAGGAAGAGCCCTTGGGGAGGTGGGGGGTTCGTGAGGCATTTGGTAAAATGAAAGGGGTAAAGGGGCCCCCGGGGTTTTATTTGGGAAAAAAAATAGAAATGTTAAAAGCGGTGGGGATATAGTTTTGGGGGTGGGGTTTGGGGCAATTTTTTTAATAAATGTTTTGGAAAAGGGTAAGGTTTCCTAGGGATTGGGAGAGGCATGCATAGTTCCCTTTGTTAAGGCAAAAGGGGGTTTAAAAAAAGGGGTGCAAAAAATTTATAGGGGGGAAAAGTCGTTGAGGGGTACCTGGTAAAGGGGGTTTTTGGTTTAAATTAAAATTTTAAAGAATTAAGGGGGTAAGACGGGGGAAAAGGATTTTTAAAATGAACAAGGGGGCTTTAGGAAAAGGGAGGGGGTGTTTTTGGGGCCAGGGGGTTTACAGTGAAACTTAAGTGAACATATTTAAAATAAGGGTAAAGAAAGGGCTTTGTGGGATTTATGGATTTGGAAAAAGGGGTTATGACAGGGTGGATAGGGGGCAATGTGGCCGATGTTTTTCAAGTGTATTGGGGTAGAGGTAGGTTTCTGAAAGCAAAGGGGGGTTTTTTTACGAGGATAGTGAGGCTCAAGTTAAAAGGTTTTTGGAAAGAGGGAAATTTTTTCCCCCGTAAAAAATAGGGGCCCTTTGACAAGGTGTGGTTGGGCACCATGGTTGTTTAATATAAATTTTTAGATGGGGGGGTAAAAGAAGTAAATGCGAGGGTCTTGGAAGAGGCTTTGGAAATTAAAAAAATAAAGAATTTAAAACACAAAGTTTTGGGGTTGTCCGCTGCTCTTTGTGAGACACTGTGCTCTTGGGGAGATTCCGGAAAGGGGAAATTGCAGAGATTGGTGGATGGGAATTTTGGGAGGGTGTGCAAAAGAAGAAAATTAAAGGTGAATACAGGAAAAGGGGGGGGGGGGGGGGGGGGGGGGGGGGGGGGGGGGGTAAGGTTAAAAGGATAACAAAAAGATTAGGGGGATGAAAGATTTGGGTATCAATTTGGGGGGAGAGGTATGGAGGAGGGGAACGTATTTAGTATTTGGGAGTGGACGTGTCCCGGGATGGGTCTATGAAAGATGAGGTGAAACTAGAATTTAAGGGGGAAAAAGGTGAAATGGGCACTTTGGAGCCCGTGGAACAAAAAACTTTGTCCCTTTGGGGGCAAAAAGGGGGAAAGTATGAGATATAGTTTTTAAACCCAAACCCCTTATATGGGTGGGGAAGCGGGGGGTGTGAATGTTGCGCGAGGAGAAGGGAAGGTTGGGGGAGTGGGATGCATGTCTGAGGGCCCAAAGTTTTGGGGTGAATTTAATTTTCAAGGGAAAAAGTAGTTTGGAAATTAGGAGGGGGTGCGGGGGTTACCAAAACTGGGTTTTCCCAAAAGGGGTTTAGGAAAGGGTTTTTGAGGTTTGGGTTTGGACATGTAGGGGAGAATTTGGGGCGAAACAGAATGGGCTTCAAAAAGTGAAACAGGTTTTTAGTGGAAGGAAGGGGGGGTAGGGGCGGGCCCAGGAAAAGGGTTTGGGGGGGGGGTAAAGGGGTTTTGTTTTTGCGAGGGGCTTGGGGCTTTCCCCGCAGGATTTCATAAACGTGTTTGTTTGGAGGAATGGAGACAAATGGTTTTTAAATTTCTTGACGGGCTGTTGGAGGGGTGGCAAAGTAAAATTTTTAAGGGGTTCAGGGAAAACCGGCAGGCCCGGGCTTGGGGTCCCGGAGATGGGAAGTACAGGTTTTGCACTTGAAGGGGGGTGGTTTTAAAGGGTTTCAGTTTTAAAAAATTTTAGTGTAAAGCAAACCTTTTTGGCAAGACAGTGATGGAGTGAATGAAAGGTGAAAGTTTTTCTTTTTTGGGCCCCCCTGCCCTTTTGGGGAATCGGGGCCCGTGTGATAATAAAAAAAAAAAAAAAAAAAAATAAATAATAATTATAATACATAATAATTATTATTATTATTACAATAATGATAGAGCTTCATTTCCCTAAATTAATAATAATACATTATTACGAGAGCTTCAGAACGAAGCCAACTCAGTGCACTGCTTACCTAGCTGTGGGAGCCGTTCTCTCCTGCTTTGCTTATACCTTTGACAGTCATTTGGCCATATTTCGCTCATCAAAGCATGGGTCCTAAGAAAGTAAGTGTAAAGGACAGTGCCGAGAAGAAAAAGAGGATGATTTCCATGGAATTTAAGCATGGAATCATAGATAAACAAGAGAGGTGTCTAGGTTTTGGGTTGAGGGGAAAGTGGGGGGAAGCTGGCTCGTAACTCAATTTTTTTTTTTTCAACAAGTCGGCTGTCTCCCACCAAGGCAGGGTGACCCAGAGAGAAAGAAAATCCCCAAAAAGAAAATACTTTCATCATCATTCAACACTTTCACCTCACTCACACATAATCACTGTTTTTGCAGAGGTGCCCAGAATACAACAGTTTAGAAGTATATATGTATAAAAATACACAATATATCTCTCCAAACTGCCAATATCTCAAACCCCTCCTTTAGAGTGCAGGCATTGTACTTCCCATTTCCAGGACTCAAGTCCGGTTATATAAAATAACCGGTTTCCCTGAATCCCTTCACTAAATATTACCCTGCTCACACCCCAACAGATCGTCAGGTCCCAGATACCATTTGTCTAAATTCACTCCTATCTAACACGCTCATGCACGCTTGCTGGAAGTCCAAACCCCTCGCCCACAGCACCTCCTTTACCCCCTCCCTCCAACCTTTCCGAGGACGACCCCTACCTCGCCTTCCTTCCCCTACAGATTTATACGCTCTCCATGTCATTCTACTTTGATCCATTCTCTCTAAATGACCAAACCAGCTCTACAAACCCTCTTCAGCCCTCTGACTAATACTTTCATTAACTCCACACCTTCTCCTAATTTCCACACTCCGAATTTTCTGCATAATATTTACACCACACATTGCTCTTAGACAGGACATCTCCACTGCCTCCAACCGCCTCCTTGCTGCAGCATTTACCACCCAAGCTTCACACCCATATAAGAGTGTTGGTACTACTACTATACTTTCATACATTCCCTTCTTTGCCTCCATAGATAACATTTTTTGCCTCCACATGTACCTCAATGCACCACTCACCTTATTTCCTTCATCAATTCTATGATTAACCTCATCCTTCATAAATCCATCCGCTGACACGTCAACTCCCAAATATCTGAAAACATTCACTTCTTCCATACTCCTCCTCCCCAATTTGATATCCAATTTTTCTTTATCTAAATCATTTGATACCCTCATCACCTTCTCTTTTCTATGTTCACTTTCAACTTTCTACCTTTACACACATTCCCAAATTCATCCACTAACCTTTGCAATTTTTCTTTAGAATCTCCCATAAGCACAGTATCATCAGCAAAAAGTAACTGTGTCACTTCCCATTTTGTATTTAATTCCCCATAATTTAATCCCACCCCTCTTCCAAACACCCTAGCATTTACTTCTCTTACAACCCCATCTATAAATATATTAAACAACCATGGTGACATTACACATCCCTGTCAAAGACCTACTTTTACCGGGAAGTAGTCTCCCTCTCTTCTACACACCCTAACCTGAGCCTCACTATCATCATAAAAGCTCTTTACAGTATTTAGTAACTTACCACCTATTCCATATACTTGCAACATCTGCCACATTGCTCCCCTATCCACCCAAATGTCGGCTAAAAACTCAGAGCAAAAAATAGACTGATCGATGGTTTGTATCTCAAAAAACTCGTACATTGGGACACTCGTAAGTCAAGGTTCCACTATAATAAAACTTTGTTAGGCACAAAAGAAAACCACTGGTATGCATTTTGGGCAAACTAATCCTGACGCTTGAAGAATATAAAACAGTAGAAAACTCATTTTTTTTAGTTACAATATATTTTAATTATTGATTTGGACCTGAAGCAATTATGTATTTTTTTTTTCTAGAAATTTCAGGTGAAAGTTGAAGATATTGGAGTAAAGTTTATGAATAGCCTTAGTCAAATGGCACTGCAAGGATCTTTGGCTGGCATTGATCTCCAGACTCACCTTAACCGTGAAGGAGGATTAGGTAAATACCTCTGTAGAAGTTTGTTGATTTAAACTTGTAAAAAATATTTTTTTAGCACAACGACTATATCTCACCAAGGCAGGGTGACCCAAAAACAGAAAGAAACACTTTCACCACCATTCAACACTTTCACCACCATTCAACACTTTCACCACCATTCAACACTTTCACCACCATTCAACACTTTCACCACCATTCAACACTTTCACCACCATTCACGCAATATCACTGTCTTTGCAGAGGTGCCCAGACATGACAGTTTAGATGTCACTCCAAATAGACAATATCCCAAATCCCTCCTTTACACTGCAGGCATTGTTCTTCCTGCCTCCAGGATTCAAGTCTGGCTAACCAGTTTTCTTGAATCCCTTCACAAAATATTACCCTGCTCACACTCCAACAGCTTATCAGGTCCCAAATACCATTCGTCTCCATTCACTCATATCTAACACAATCACACATGTCTGCTGTATGTCCAGGTCCCTTGCACACAAAACCTCTTTTACCCTCTCCCTGAATAAATAAGGGACTTTTTTTTTTTTTTTTGTATCTTCCCCACTACCCTTACGTTTAGAAATAAAACATGAGTGTACACCCAGTTTTTCTGTGAAATGTCTGCTGGTCATGACTAAGATACATAAATTTAAAAAACAATAACATTCAAAATTTTCATTAATGCACTGTAAATTTGATCAATCTGCCTGCCATTTGAAGGGGTGGTCACATGTCAGCCTGCATTCCCTTTTTTGCTGGACCAATTGAAGTAGAACATTTCTTGCATCTTCTGTTCTTACCTTACTGATATTTTACTAAAAGTTCTACAGTCATATATGTGATGCTTATATTATATAGAGCCTGTGTCAAACAGTTTGATAATAATTTTTAGTGCACACTAAAACCCAGATCTGTAGTGGAGGGAAGGTGGAGTAGGGGTCAGCCTAGGAAAGGTTGGAGGGAAAGGGTAAAGGAGGTTTTTGTGTTCTAGTGGCTTGGCCTTCCACCAAGCCCCTAGAACAGCGTGTTAGATAGGAGCGGATGGAGACAAATGGCTGGACTTGAGTCCTGGAGGTTGGAAGTACAGTGCCTGCGCTCTGAAGGAGGGATGTTAATGTTGCAGTTTTATAATTGTAGTGTAAGCACACCTCAGGCAAGACAGTGATGAAGTGAATGATGAAGGTTTTTCTTTTTCTGGCCACCCTGCCTTGGTGGGAAACAGCCGATGTATTAATAATAATAATAAAACCCAGAATCCATGACAAGTCTATAGTATTAATCAGTACATTGCAGTTACACATTACCGTGTCTTGTACAGTGTAGTGATGTGTTCTTAGATTGTTGAACATGCTGGTGATTCATAATAGAAAGTGAGGAAGTGTATGTAAATGAGAAAGATGTAAGGTGGAGGGATCCAAACATCAGATGATTCAGAGGGGCAGCCATGGCACCAGTAAGCTGACAGTCCTAATTCATTGCCATTTTTTTTTTTAACCCTTTGACTGTTTCAGGCCCCTCTCTGAAACTGTCATTCTATGTCGCCAAATATTCAAAAAAAAAAAAAAATTATTTTTTCTTATGAAAATGTTAAGATTATTTTTCTGAGTGTTTTAGTCCAAAAAAAAAATTTTTGCCATCGGTACTTACCGAGATATAGAGCCGTGAAGTTTGCAGAAAATGAGCCGCGTATGGCAACAGCGGCGACTGCCGCTCACCCGGTAAACTTTAGTTTACTTGTAATTGAAGGTTTTTTGTTTTTTTCACTATTTTATTTTTTCACATAACTTATGTGGCCTATGAGACCAAAGTAAGGTGCAATGTATATATATACACTCGTTGTATACAACACAATAAGCACACAAACATAATTATCAATATATTGTTTACAAAACTTGTTTACAAAAACAAACAAACAAACAAACAAACAAACAAACAAACAAACAAACCACCACCACCACCACCTTCTTCTTCTTCTTCTTCTCCTTCTTCTCCTTCTCCTTCTTCTCCTTCTTCTCCTTCTTCTCCTTCTTCTCCTTCTTCTCCTTCTTCTCCTTCTTCTCCTTCTTCTCCTTCTTCTCCTTCTTCTCCTTCTTCTCCTTCTTCTCCTTCTCCTCCTTCTCCTCCTTCTCCTCCTTCTCCTCCTTCTCCTCCTTCTCCTCCTTCTCCTCCTTCTCCTCCTTCTCCTTCTCCTCCTTCTCCTCCTTCTCCTCCTTCTCCTCCTTCTCCTCCTTCTCCTCCTTCTCCTCCTTCTCCTTCTCCTTCTCCTTCTCCTTCTCCTCCTCCTCCTCCTCCTCCTCCTTCTCCTCCTCCTTCTCCTCCTCCTTCTCCTCCTCCTTCTCCTCCTCCTTCTCCTCCTCCTTCTCCTCCTCCTTGTCTTGTGTGCGAGTGTGTGGCTTATAATTGTTTTGAGTCAGAAGTCGGCAGCTGTCAAAGTGACATATTGTCTCATTAGTCACTACCCCTACCGCCTGTCAAAACAATGGGGTCGGATGCTGCTTCCCCTCCTCCATTCTATCTAATTATCTTTCTCCCTCATTCTATATCTTTCAATCTGTCTCTCTTTCTATCTGTCTGCCTATCTCTGTCTCACAGGTACACATAAATACAAGTATACATAGTGTAAATTACCTAGGATAACCCAAGAAATCGAGACAAAGTGCTATACTCTGCTTGAAGATGTGAGTAAACGTGATGACACAGTCTTGTGGCTCTCTCTGAGACAGAGAGCTAGATGGACAGACAGGGAGCTTGACAGACAGACAAATAGACAGACAGAAATGTTTGTGTACCAGCAAAAACAAAGGGAGGCGATGGTCATGTAATATTACCCTCCTTTACGCTCATCAAAGTCAGCTCTTATCAGATGTTATCTCCCCTTATCTTGTCACTGTCATGGGGTGGACTTTTTTTTTTCTTGCTTCAAGGGAACAATATTATTTCATCTTCTTCTTCCTCCTCCTCCTCCTCTTCTCCTCCTCTCCTCCTCCTCCTCCTCCTCCTCCTCCTCCTCTTCCTTCCCCTCCCTCCTCCTCCTCCTCCTCCTCCTTCCTCCCCTCCTCCTCCTCCATTGCTTTTGGTCTCAAACTCCTCCAAATCATGAAATTGATCTTCACTGACACTTCCATCTGTGTTAGAGCATCACTTGAGAAGAGAAGAGTCCCAGATTTGCTGGGGAATCACATATTTCTTACCACTAGACATGCTGAAAAATGACAACTGAAATGGCATTCCCACAATGCACCACTGGCTCCCCGATTTTTTTTATATGGTGCACACTGACCATGGAGACCCATTCTCTCACATGTGGGCCTAGCAGCTTTCTCCTGCTTGATTTGAAGCTGCTAGAATTTATGCGTATAAATACGTCAGAAACATTGGCTCGTAAGACGTATTTATACGTCGGAAACAGTCAAAGGGTTAAGAGAGAGTAACCCTGTGCCTTGATAGTCAAAATAAATTAGTGTTTACCCATTGTTTTACTGTCTAATAGAATGAGACAGAACATATACTAGTCAAGTTTCCTTACAGCTGTTTTTTCTGCTACTATTCACCTGCCAGGAAAACCAAGTGTGATAGGTGATAATGGGATACTCCCTCATCCTTTATTTTTAAACGGTTTCTGACTCTGATTTCAGACATACTTGGCTGAGATTGCCATTATACTGGTAACAATAAGTTGCCATCATGCTGGTATCATCATTCTGGTTACATCAGGTTGCCATCATGTCAGTAACATAAGTTACCATCATGCTGGTATCATCAGCATGCCATCATTCTGGTAGCATCAGGTTATCATCATACCAGTAACATCAAGTTATCATCATGCTGGTATCATCCAACATGTTACCATCATGATGGAGGCATCAAATTCCCAACCAGCTTTTGGGTGTGACACAGTTCTTGAATTCCTGATGCTCTCATCTTTATTTTTCTTAGCTTTCATATTCATGCTTGAAACATTTAATCTCTTCATCTTAATAATAGTAAATGCTAGGGTGTTTGGGAGAGGGGTGGGATTAAATTATGGGGAATCAAATTCAAAATGGGAATTGACACAGTTACTTTTTGCTGATGATACTGTGCTTATGGGAGATTCTAAAGAAAAATTGCAAAGGTTAGTGGATGAGTTTGGGAATGTGTGTAAAGGTAGAAAGTTGAAAGTGAACATAGAAAAGAGTAAGGTGATGAGGGTGTCAAATGATTTAGATAAAGAAAAATTGGATATCAAATTGGGGAGGAGGAGTATGGAAGAAGTGAATGTTTTCAGATACTTGGGAGTTGACGTGTCGGCGGATGGATTTATGAAGGATGAGGTTAATCATAGAATTGATGAGGGAAAAAAGGTGAGTGGTGCGTTGAGGTATATGTGGAGTCAAAAAACGTTATCTATGGAGGCAAAGAAGGGAATGTATGAAAGTATAGTAGTACCAACACTCTTATATGGGTGTGAAGCTTGGGTGGTAAATGCAGCAGCGAGGAGACGGTTGGAGGCAGCGGAGATGTCCTGTTTAAGGGCAATGTGTGGTGTAAATATTATGCAGAAAATTCGGAGTGTGGAAATTAGGAGAAGGTGTGGAGTTAATAAAAGTATTAGTCAGAGGGCAGAAGAGGGGTTGTTGAGGTGGTTTGGTCATTTAGAGAGAATGGATCACAGTAGAATGACATGGAAAGCATATAAATCTATAGGGGAAGGAAGGCGGGGTAGGGGTCGTCCTCGAAAGGGTTGGAGAGAGGGGGTAAAGGAGGTTTTGTGGGTAAGGGGCTTGGACTTCCAGCAAGCGTGCGTGAGCGTGTTAGATAGGAGTGAATGGAGACGAATGGTACTTGGGACCTGACGATCTGTTGGAGTGTGAGCAGGGTAATATTTAGTGAAGGGATTCAGGGAAACCGGTTATTTTCATATAGTCGGACTTGAGTCCTGGAAATGGGAAGTACAATGCCTGCACTTTAAAGGAGGGGTTTGGGATATTGGCAGTTTGGAGGGATATGTTGTGTATCTTTATATGTTTATGCTTCTAGACTGTTGTATTCTGAGCACCTCTGCAAAAACAGTGATAATGTGCGAGTGTGGTGAAAGTGTTGAATGATGATGAAAGTATTTTCTTTTTGGGGATTTTCTTTCTTTTTTGGGTCACCCTGCCTCGGTGGGAGACGGCCGACTTGTTGAAAAAAAAAAAAAAAAAAAATGATAATCTCAGTATTGAATTATTAAAAACAAAAACTGGTTGGTGAAACATTTTCAAAAAGAAGATATAGTTGGGTGTTGCATCTCTGTTTAATTCAGCTTGTCGATATTGTATACCATTAATGTACTGATACTTTGTAAACCATCAGTATATAATAAAAAGACACAATACTGTGACTGGAACAATACACAGATAATCCACTCATAGGAGACTGAAATTTATGATGACATTTTGGTCTGACTTGGACCATTAATTAGTGATACCAGTTAATAGTGACTTAATTAATGGTCTAAGTGGAATGAAAACATCTTCGTAAGTTTAATTCTCCTATATGTGGGTTATTTATTTAACCCATTGATGTGCAACAAAATTTTGAAATAATGGGCAAAATCTGCTGTGTAAATAGCACTTCTAATTCCTTTAACCCTTTCGGGGTCCATGCCGTAGATCTATGGCTTGACGTTGAGGGTCCAAACCATAGATCTATGCCATGAGCTCAGCTCACTCTAATAAGCTGTGAGGAGTAAATTTGGGCCTAGATATGAGAGAATACATCTGTGTGGTATGTGTACACTACATAAAACAAATCCTGCAGCACACTGCATAATGAGAGAAAAAAACTGAGACCGTAATTTTCGATTAAAACAGCAACTTTGCAGTATTTTTTCGTATGTTTTTTATAGTTGTATTTGCGATTTCTTGGTCTCATTTGATAGAATGGAAAATATATTACAGAAATAGAGATGATTTTGATTGGTTTTAGTAGTGAAAATGACTTGAAACTGAGTTCAAAGTAGCGGAAATGTTAAATTTTTGCCACTGTTCAGGAGTAAACAAATGACCTCACATGTTTAATACACACCAGCTGGTGGGTCTAATATACATTCACAAATGTGCTGATATTATTTATACAATTATTACAATATTGCATGAGAGTTAATCTTCTATTTTTTGGTTTGAATAAAAAATCATTATGTGAATTAAAAATCAAAATGAAATTCATTTGTAAAACCTGAAAATGTAACTAATGAACAGAGGAAATGTTAGTTTAGTACCAGGAATGCTTGCATTGTTTATTCTGGACCCTATTTTGAAATTGGAATGTTTTGAACTTTGCACTAAATTGACTAAATTACCAATTTCTGATCACTTTATTTATTTTGTAGTTGAAACGGTTGAATTGGCAATTTCTTGTGCTCAATCGATAGAATAGACGTAATACTAGTGAAATAGCTAAGAATTTGGTCTACTGGAATAAGGTAATTGGCCTAAAATTGGAATCGAAGTCGGCAAAATTGCCGATGCATAAATATCGCTGACACATCAAAATTTGCAAGAGCACAATCTCGTCAATTTTTCATCAAATTTTGTACTTTTTGTTTTATTACTTTCAGAAAAAGATTCTCTACTATTTCATAAGAAAGAATATCAAAACTATTTTTTGAAAATTCTTGGACACTGGTGCACACTTCGAAATTTGGCCTCTGGACCCTGAAAGGGTTAATTTCAATGTTTATTGAATATTATTGTAACTTGTGTGTACAACACTATTTTAGGTACACAATAGATTGCTTAAGTGCCTTTTTTTGTTATTTTTAACAGTATTCTGATTAAACAGATACTCGGACAATCACCCCAATTTAGTCTGTTATGTGGAGGGTTTACTCTGTTATACCTATTTATTGTGCCAGAATGATACAGTACCCTGTCAGTTACCTACTGATATTCTTTATAGTTTGCTTAAGTAATGATTCATAGACTGGGTGCATAATAATACTTTAAAAAATGAAAACTTACTTTATTCCTAGAGAACCTGCCAGCCCTTCTGCCTGACTTCAGCACTGAGTTGCAGGTGGACAACACAAGGTTGCAGTGTGTACATGACTCTTCCATTTTTCTCATTAGATTTAACCTACAAACTCAGGTAAGAGAAAATTCATTCTTGGAAGGATAGGATAATCAGCTACTGACATGTTGGGTCAAACATGCATTTTTCAGTTGAAAGTTGTTCAGTAAACGATTGCCTGCCTGAATGTCTTGTTTAATCCAAAATATGCCAAGGTACATCTGCCAAGTAGTGAGACTAAATCATTTTAGTGTTGTCATTCATTACTTTCATACAGTTGCAGTTAATGAGCATATTTATGTTTGCAAGGTCATGTTGATAATTTGTAAATGATGCAAACACTGCCATCAAAGAACAAAAATAAGATAAATTGTATACAGTATGAATATAATTCTTGAGTTAAATATAAAAGTTTACATTGAATGCATTGGGGATTATGGGGTCCCAGATGGATTTTATCATACCTATTCCTACATAATACCAAATTAACTTTCACTCACTCACTGGTCATTTCTTTATTGTTTTGGAGTCAAGGCACTATGTGGGGTATGCCAGTGGTATCAGCTCCAGTTGCCAGCCAGAATATCACAGCTGGGGAGGAGAAGGAAACATAAGATCCTTTCTGGTCTCTGGTACAGAAAGAATCCTTCAGTGCTTACTATTCAGTTTTCTTCTGTGGGATCCTGGTAGGTCAGCAGCCAAGGGAGTGAACCCAGAAAAGGTGATAGTCCAGTTTTTTTTTTTTTTGCAGGTTTATTATCCTATGGTATCTCTGATACATCCTCAGCAGTAGGTTGGCAGATAACAACCACCCAGGGAGGTACTACTGTTCTGCCAGGTAAGTGTAAAATGAGAGTCTGTAATTGTTTTACATGATGGTAGAATTGCTGGTGTCTTTTGTCTCTCTCATAAACATGCAAGATTTCAGGTACGTCTTGCTATTTCTATTTACTCTTAGGTCACACTACGCATACATATACAAGCATATATATACACACACCCCTCTGGGTTTTCCTCTATTTTCTTTCTAGTTCTTGTTCTTGTTTATTTCCTCTTGTCTCCATGGGGAAGTGGAACAGAATTCTTCCTCCATAAGCCATGCGTGTTGTAAGAGGCAACTAAAATGCTGGGAGCAAGGGGCTAGTAACTCCTTCTCCTGTATAAATTACTAAATTTAAAAAGAGAAACTTTTGTTTTTCTTTTTGGGCCACCATGCCTTTGTGGGATACGGCTGGTTTGTTGAAAAAAAAAAAATTACTGAAGTTAAAAAGAGAAACTAGTTTTTCTTTTTGGGCCACCCTTCCTCGGTGGAATACAGCTGGTTTGTTGAAAGAAAGAAGATATGTATGATTCCAGATGCAACACTCCCAAGAGCTCCAAAGCAAAGAAACTGTTTCTGCTTTTAAAAGATGTTTTTGCATCAGGGGCATTGGTCAGATCTAGGTTTCTTCCTTCTCCAACTGTAATATTACAGCTCATAACTGGAGCTGGTCATGCCTGCACACCCCACCTAGAACATGCACACAACAATATAGTAGTGACCAGTGAGAGCAGCAAACAAGGTTGTGGCCACAGTACAACTATAAAACCTCTGAGAGAAAATAGGTGAGGTAGGAATACAGGTAGGCATGATTTATACCAGGTGGGCCCTCAAGGAGCTCTGACTTTCTGCAATCAAAAAGCAGTTATTTAGTAATACAATGCAAGTGACTATCTTTCTAGTTTGTTGGTGACCGAGTAAATATGAAGAGTGAATTTAGATCTCTTCATGTATCCTATGATCATCGTGACTTAGGTGTATGGACCACCTATGTGTCCCGACAGAAGCCTCTACCTCCTGCACAAAGTTATGTAAGTATCTCTGACTGCCATATACTACTTAGATATCTTCATTCATTGTATTGAATCATTTACCTGCAAGTGTGTTTTATGTCACATTTAAAAACAGATACGTACTTGATTGGTAAACTAAAAACAAGTCTACAGTGTGTTGAATTATTTACTTCAGTACATGTTTCGTATTTAGAAAATACAGTGGAACCTCCACTCGTGAGTTTAATTCGTTCTGTGACCTTGCTCGAATCTGGATTTGCTCATTTGCAGAGTCAGTTTTCTTCATTTAAATTAATTGAAATGGAATTAATTCGTTCCAGTGGAATTCCAGGCATGAGAAAATACTTCAATAACTTCCTTAATATGAGTCTACGGCTTATTTATCTATCACAATTCATGTAATATGACATAATAAACAATATTAATAACATAGAAACATGATATATGCACTAGAATGAATAAAATACACGTCATTACGTATGTGGCTAGTGGTGGTGACAGCAGCCATTGTTGTTGTTGGGGTACAACAAGGTTGCTACCAAGGTACAACAAGGTTGTTACCAGGGTACAGCAAAGTTGCTACCAGGGTACAACAAGATTGCTACTAGGGTACAACAATGTTGCTACCAGGGTTTAAGGTTGCTACCAGGGTACAACAAGGTTGCTACCAGGGTACAACAAGGTTGCTACCAGGGTACAACAAGGTTGTTTTTCAAGGCACAAGGTCTGCCACTACTGCTTCATGTTGTCTGCTACTGCTACCTTATGATGTCTGCCACTGCTACCTCATGATGTCTGCCACTGCTGCTTCATGATGTCTACCACTGCTGCTTCATATCTGCCACTGCTGATTCATGTTGTCTGCCACTGCTGCTTCATGTTGTCTGCCACTGCTACCCCATGATGTCTGCTCCCACTGTTGTTAGCAGCATATTGAAGAGCTTTCCAATATGTGAAGGTTGAGGGGCAGTGCCAATCAGACAGATATTGGACGGTGACATCATTTGTTTACTCTGGAACATCGCCAAAGAATCGAACATTTCTGCTACTTTGAGCTCAATTTCAAGGTACTTTTCATCAAGAAAGCAATCAAAATCATATCTATTTCTGTAGTATATCTTCCATTCTATCAAATGAGACCAAAAAAGCGAGAATACAACCATACAAACCATACGAAAATATACCGCTAAAGGGAGGCTAATGGCTGAGAAGTGAACTCTGTTATTTATGATCTGATTTCTTTCATTTTTGGTGTACGTTAAGAAGCATCTTTTCATCATACATTGCCCAAGTTTCAATAAGATAATTCAACAAACAACTGAGATCCAATTCCCTAGATGAAGAGCAAGAGTCCCTCACCAGCATCAAGGAACCTCCCTTGAGGCCCGCTTGCATCTGGAAACTTCGCTCACTTATGGAAGCAAAAAACCGATCGAGCAACTGCTTGTATCTGGAAAAACTCGCACATGGATGTGCTTGTAAGTGGAGGTTCCACTGTATTAAATTTATATGCTAGACAAATTTTTGCAAAGTCTTCTAATATTAACTCTTGTACCAGGTTCCAGAATTAGGAGACAAAGGGAAATCTGCTACATGGAAAAAACTGTTGCATCGATATTGTGTTGGAATGATCATGGAAATGTGGGATGTCAGCTGTGGAGGTTCAATGCCAGGTTCGTCGTATGGTCAGACTAGTCTTCAGCATGCACGTTTCAGTGTTGCATTATCTCAGTGGACATCACAGGTTGCTGGAGAATTAATTTTGGAATCTCTGGTGGCCACACTGGGACAGGTGCAGCATAGCATTACTCCCACCGTACAGTCAATTTCAGCTGCTACAGCCCCGAGAAGAATTCATGTATGGGGAACACCAGCATGCATTGGTCTTTGTCTTGTCCAACTTTCCTCAGTTCCTCAAGGTAGTAGCAGAAATAATAATTCTCTGCCTCCCCTTCAAGCTGAGGCACTGGTTGATAATTTGCAACTGGAATGGAGTCCTGACTTGGGTTCATTCATCACATCTCTCATTAGGTATGCTAATGGTGTAATAAATGGGATGTTACAACTAATAACTAATAAAAATGTTTTCAGTTTGCAACAAGATTGGTTTGAAAAATTAAATGAAGTAAATGTGAATGTTCTGCAACCGTGAAATATTGTTTCATTTCCTGTAAATTATTAATTGAATATTGTGAGAGGTGAGAGCACAGAATTACTTGAGTTTACAGTTATATAATGGTGATTCAAAGTTAAAGTTATCACAGTTTTTGAATGAGGATGACATTTCTTGTGACAAAAGTAATATGCAGGGTGTTTTTTGAATTTATAGTTTAATAAAAAACTGAAAAGTGTTAACCAAATCATTTTTAGGGGTCATTTAATATGCTTATCTCTGGAAAAGTGACTAACATGCAAGGGGCTAGTAACCCCTTCTCCTGCATACATTACTGAAGTTAAAAAGGGAAACTTTTGTTTTTCTTTTTGGGTCACCCTGCCTTGGTGGGATACAGCCAGTTTGTTGCAAGAAGAAAAAGATCTCTGGAAAAATAGAGGTTAAGAACAAGATAATGTAAGAAAGAGCTAAAATTAAAGCATACTTGATAGCAAAGAGGAGAAAATATAATTCAAATTTTGTAGGACCTTTTGACAAGAAATGTTAATTCTAAAAGTATGTATAATAAAAAAATTTTACTGTTAAAATTTTCTAGACTAGTTCTCTGATGGCTGTATTACCAGCATAATGATGTAAATGAACTCTTCATTTCTGGAAAGGTTGTTAGTTAGTAGAGATTAATGTGTTTTGCCTTAGTAGCAAACAAGTGATGAGTTGAAACATTGTATGAAGTGGAATGAGGCACATTGGTAGAAGTTGTAGTAGTGGATTAAATAAGTTATTTGAACAGTTAAAATATTGGGGTAATATTAAAAAGTTAGCATATGAGAAGTTTTTACAAAGTAGAAGTGATGCAAGGAGGGAAGAGTATATGGAGAAAAAGAGAGAAGTTAAGAGAGTGGTGAAGCAATGTAAAAAGAGAGCAAATGAGAGAGTGGGTGAGATGTTATCAACAAATTTTGTTGAAAATAAGAAAAAGTTTTGGAGTGAGATTAACAAGTTAAGAAAGCCTAGAGAACAAATGGATTTGTCAGTTAAAAATAGGAGAGGAGAGTTATTAAATGGAGAGTTAGAGGTATTGGGAAGATGGAAGGAATATTTTGAGGAATGTTAAATGTTGATGAAGATAGGGAAGCTGTGATTTCGTGTATAGGGCAAGGAGGAATAACATCTTGTAGGAGTGAGGAAGAGCCAGTTGTGAGTGTGGGGAAGTTCGTGAGGCAGTAGGTAAAATGAAAGGGGGTAAGGCAGCCGGGATTGATGGGATAAAGATAGAAATGTTAAAAGCAGGTGGGGATATAGTTTTGGAGTGGTTGGTGCAATTATTTATAAATGTATGGAAGAGGGTAAGGTACCTAGGGATTGGCAGAGAGCATGCATAGTTCCTTTGTATAAAGGCAAAGGGGATAAAAGAGAGTGCAAAAATTATAGGGGGATAAGTCTGTTGAGTGTACCTGGTAAAGTGTATGGTAGAGTTATAATTGAAAGAATTAAGAGTAAGACGGAGAATAGGATAGCAGATGAACAAGGAGGCTTTAGGAAAGGTAGGGGGTGTGTGGACCAGGTGTTTACAGTGAAACATGTAAGTGAACAGTATTTAGATAAGGCTAAAGAGGTCTTTGTGGCATTTATGGATTTGGAAAAGGCGTATGACAGGGTGGATAGGGGGGCAATGTGGCAGATGTTGCAAGTGTATGGTGTAGGAGGTAGGTTACTGAAAGCAGTGAAGAGTTTTTACGAGGATAGTGAGGCTCAAGTTAGAGTATGTAGGAAAGAGGGAAATTTTTTCCCAGTAAAAGTAGGCCTTAGACAAGGATGTGTGATGTCACCGTGGTTGTTTAATATATTTATAGATGGGGTTGTAAGAGAAGTAAATGCGAGGGTCTTGGCAAGAGGCGTGGAGTTAAAAGATAAAGAATCACACACAAAGTGGGAGTTGTCACAGCTGCTCTTTGCTGATGACACTGTGCTCTTGGGAGATTCTGAAGAGAAGTTGCAGAGATTGGTGGATGAATTTGGTAGGGTGTGCAAAAGAAGAAAATTAAAGGTGAATACAGGAAAGAGTAAGGTTATGAGGATAACAAAAAGATTAGGTGATGAAAGATTGAATATCAGATTGGAGGGAGAGAGTATGGAGGAGGTGAACGTATTCAGATATTTGGGAGTGGACGTGTCAGCGGATTGGTCTATGAAAGATGAGGTGAATCATAGAATTGATGAAGGAAAAAGAGTGAGTGGTGCACTTAGGAGTCTGTGGAGACAAAGAACTTTGTCCTTGGAGGCAAAGAGGGGAATGTATGAGAGTATAGTTTTACCAACGCTCTTATATGGGTGTGAAGCGTGGGTGATGAATGTTGCAGCGAGGAGAAGGCTGGAGGCAGTGGAGATGTCATGTCTGAGGGCAATGTGTGGTGTGAATATAATGCAGAGAATTCGTAGTTTGGAAGTTAGGAGGAGGTGCGGGATTACCAAAACTGTTGTCCAGAGGGCTGAGGAAGGGTTGTTGAGGTGGTTCGGACATGTAGAGAGAATGGAGCGAAACAGAATGACTTCAAGAGTGTATCAGTCTGTAGTGGAAGGAAGGCGGGGTAGGGGTCGGCCTAGGAAGGGTTGGAGGGAGGGGGTAAAGGAGGTTTTGTGTGCGAGGGGCTTGGACTTCCAGCAGGCATGCGTGAGCGTGTTTGATAGGAGTGAATGGAGACAAATGGTTTTTAATACTTGACGTGCTGTTGGAGTGTGAGCAAAGTAACATTTATGAAGGGATTCAGGGAAACCGGCAGGCCGGACTTGAGTCCTGGAGATGGGAAGTACAGTGCCTGCACTCTGAAGGAGGGGTGTTAATGTTGCAGTTTAAAAACTGTAGTGTAAAGCACCCTTCTGGCAAGACAGTGATGGAGTGAATGATGGTGAAAGTTTTTCTTTTTCGGGCCACCCTGCCTTGGTGGGAATCGGCCGGTGTGATAATAAAAAAAAAATAATATTAAAAACATTATAGTTTTATACTATTCACTTAATACAAAAATAATGTTTAGTTTATATTGAAATTTACATTATTATTTCATTTTATCACCACAAGCAGATGGGAATTGAGAATGAAAACTCAATAGGTATTTTGGTTGCAATAACATCATGCTAAAGATTACCAAATAATCAAGAAAATTGAATTCTTTAGCAGACATCTTTAGTGCTACTGTTTCAGCACTTCAAGATTTACTATGAGACACAACATTTTGGCATTTAGAGTGATGGTATTTAAATGTTCCATGTCTAGTCAACCATAGTTCACAGTGAAATTAAGATGGCTCAGATTCTTTACTGTGCATTCTTATCCAAGCTGCTTATGGTACATGGCTGTTGAGTAATTGGAGAATCTAGTATTTTAATGAAAATTTTGTAATACTGTGTATACACTTGTATCCTGCAGATACTCTCAGGAACTTAAAAAGTACTCCAGAAGTATTGTATCAAGGAAGGCAGCTGAAAAAACATCAGAAGTCCCTGGAGAAACTTTCAACAGTATTAGTGTGAAATGCACCAACATCAACATGTTTGCTGTTACTGAACACAAGGGTAAGGAGGCACAAATGTAAGATAGTTTCTGGCTCCATTCAGATTTTGAGTGAAATGTAGTTTGCATTATGTTATCCCTCTTACACCTGTTGTTAATTAAATTTGTTTTTCCGACTCCATCTGAGTGAGTAAATGAATGCACTTATTACAAATACAAATGTTTATTTCTCTGTAAAGATTGCAATGTGAGGTTTACATATAAAATACTAATTACATAGAGGGCCACTATCATGCCTAGCATGACTAGGCATTTTGGGCAGACTAATAATAATTCTAGCTCTATATTGATACAGGTTATGGAGTATATTGATAATGAAGCTAGGTAACTACATAACAGTTTGCAAATTTAGCAAAGAGAATGGTTTTATCCTGGCATGATACACAGTCTATCAAAGCTCCTATATCAAATCAAATCAAATCAAGTTTATCCTCTATAAAGAATGCAATGCGGGGTTTACATATTATAGGATATTGTGTGGTTTACATATTATATAAAACTAATTACAGAGAGGGCCACTATCACACCTAGCATGACTAGGCATTTCGGGCAGACTAAGATTAATTCAAAACTCTATATTGGTACAGATTATGGAGCATATTGGAGCTAAGGATGAGTGCTGTTGAACATTTTGTTAGCCAGTTGAGACACTTGCTTGGTTTTGCTATTCTTAGTAAATACAATGAAGTTGTTCATCATGAGAGACATAATGTTAAGGAGGTATTTATAACCTCCAAATACAGGTGTACAAATAGCTTTTATATTGCAGATTTTTATTTGTTTTTATTTTACCTTGATCTATCTCTTAATCATAGGAAAATAATGGTTCTTAAAATAGTTTATTTTGCATTTTTTAACCCCTTAACTGTCCAGACGTAGATCTACGTGCTCTCGCCCAGTGCTCCAAATATTTTGAAAGAAAAAAAATAGTTTTTTTTTTTATAATGAGCACATTTTTTTTACATAATGTAAAAAAAAAAAATTCTAGAGTCAGTACTTATGGAGACATAAGGCCGCAAAGTTGGCACTTGTTGCTCACCTGACAGCAACATGAAGCGCTGCCACTTGCAGATGTGTTGCTGATATACCTTTTTTTTCCCTCATTTTTTTTTTTAATTTGTATAGTTTTTATGTTCTGATAATGACAATTTGTAGTAGTTATTGTGATTTCATGGTTAATCTTTGTTCTGAAACTAATACACATGTATTAGGTACTGAAATAGTACTCAAATAGTCACAAACACAGTGACAGGTGAACATTTTCACCTACCTTAATCACATACTATTGCCTAGAAATGTATACATAGTATGTATAGGTCCCAGCAATGTTTTGGATACAAGGGAGTATATAATAATAATAATAAAAATAATAATAATAATAAGTTCCCTTGAAGCATGATGTAAGAGTATGTCACTTGTCTTATCTTATCACTCCACTGACATTTGATGAACGTCGTCTTATCTTATCACCCCACTAATGACAGTGGTGACATGTGATTTGTCTTATCTTATCATTCCACTAATGACAGTGGTGACATTTGATAAGCCTTTGCTTTATTTGTTTTCACTGTTAAACATAAACATGTCTGTCTATCTGTCTACCTCTCTGTCTATCTGTCTAGCTTTCTGTCTGTCTAGCTCTGTCTAGTTCTCTGTCTATCTGTCTAGCTCTCTACTTGTCTGTCTAGCTCTCTGTATCTGTCTGTCTAGCTTTCTATCTGTCTGCCTGTGTGTGTGTGTCGTTCTGTCTGCTTGTCTCTCTTGTCTCAGAGAGTTGCTCACGAACCAACTGGTATTATACACGATCACTACCTACAAGTGCAGTATAGCACTTTTTCTGGATTTTTTGGGTTATCCTAGGTAATTTACACTATGTATAATTGTATTTACGTGTGTGTTTCTGTGAGATAGAGATAGATACAGACAGACAGACAGAGATAAAGACATCCAATCAGTCAGCCGTCGGCCAGCCAATCAGCCATCCAGCTGCCAGCTAGCCAGCTGGTCTGCCAGCCTGCCGAAATTACACGTTCCAGAATCGTTTCATTTTACTTAGGGCATAGGTTATAGGACATTCTGGCATGATGACACTTTCCTCTTAAAAGCGGAGTGTTAATACGACATGACATCAGTGAATCCATGGTGTTTGCCACGCTGTTTGCTCTAGCTGGCGCTCAATTGAACTGGTGCTCCCACAAGGCACTAAGTGGTCCCAGAGTGTTTTACTACTGTGCACACCAAGGGTTAAGACCCATTCTATACTGACCAGGCATCTTAGGTCAATCATGCCAAATTTGGAGGCAGGGAAAATAAAACGTAGATTTACGTTTGGAGCATTAGCGGTAGCATAGATCTAAGTTTGGACAGTTAAGGGGTTTGAGATAACGTTTCCGTACCTGTATTTTTGTCTGTAGGATCACTGATAGATGAAGCTATAGCATATATGTACAGTGGTCTCTCGATAATCGTCGGGCTCGATAGTCGTCCTTTTCGGAAATCGTCGCGTTATTTTCGGCCAAACATTGGCTCACAAACGGTCGGTTGACTCGCTAATCGCCGTTCATTCTGGACACGTACTCACGGCTCTGAGACGCCTCGGCCTCCCTTCCCAGCCAGTGTGAAATTGTTTACCAGTGAGCGACAGTTCCCTCACTTGCTCATACAAAATATTTCATAATATTCCATTTATTTTAGTGCTTGCAAGTGCTAAATAAGCTACCATGGCTCCAAAGAAAGCTCCTAGTGCCAAGCCTTTGGTAAAGAAGGTGAGAAATACGATTGAATTTAAGAAAAACGTCATTGAACAATATGACAGTGGCGTACGTGCGGCCGAACTGGCCAGGATGTATAACAAATCCCGTACAACCATATCTTCCATCGTGGCCAAGAAAAAGGAAATCAAGGAAGCTGTTGTTGCAAAGGGGGTAAATATGCTGACAAAATTGAGATCAACAGTACTAAAAGATGTTGAGAAGTTATTATTGGTGTGGATAAACGAGAAACAATTAGCAGGAGATAGTCTTATGATGTCGATTATTTGTGAAAAGGCTAGGCAGTTGCATGACGATCTGGTAAAGAAATTGCCTGCAACGAGTACTGATATTTGTGAATTTAACCCTTTCAGGGTCCGTCCCGTAGATCTACGGCTTTACGTTCAGGGTCCAAACCGTAGATCTACGCCATGAGCTCAGCTCACTCTGATAAACTGTGAGTGGTACATTTGGGCCTAGATATGACAGAACACATCTATGTGGTATGTGTGCACCACATAAAAGAGATCCTGCAGCACACTGTGTATAATGAGAGAAAAAAACTTAAATCATGATTTTTCGATTAAAACAGCAACTTTGCAGTGTTTTTTCGTATGTTTTTTATAGTTGTATTTGCGATTTCTTGGTCTCATTTGATAGAATGGAAGACATATTTCAGAAATAGAGATGATTTTGATTGGTTTTAGCACTGGAAATGGCTTGAAACTGAGCTCAAAGTAGCGGAAATGTTAAATTTTTGCCGATATTCAAGAGTAAACAAACGACCTCACACGTCTAATACACGTCAGCTGGTGGGTCTAATATACATTCACAAATATGGTGATGATATTTATACAATTATTACAGTATTGCATAACAGTAAATCTTCTATTTTTTTGGTGTGAATAAAAATTCATTATGTGAATAAAAAATCAAAATGGAATTTATTTGTAAAGCCTCAAAACATAACTAATGAACAGAGGAAACGTTAGTTTAGTGCCAGGAATGCCTACATTGTTTATTCTGGACCCTATTTTGAAATTGGAATATTTTGAACTTTGTGTTAAATTGACCAAATTAACAATTTCCTATCACTTTATTTTGTAGTTGAAACAGTTGACTTGGCGATTTCTTGTGCTCAATCGATAGAATAGAAGTAATACTAGTGAAATAGCTAAGAATTTGGTTGATTGGAATAATGTAATTGGCCTAAAATGGGAGTCAAAGTCGGCAAAATCGCCGATTCGTAAATGTCGCTGACACATCAAAATTCGCGAGAGCATAATTTCGTCAATTTTCCACCAAATTTCGTACTTTTTGTTTTATTACCTTCACAAAAAGATTCTCTACGATTTCATAAGAAAAAATAACAAATTTTTTTTTTTTAAATTCTTGGACACTGGTGCGTGACTCCAGATTTGGGCCTTGGACCCTGAAAGGGTTAAGGCCAGCAAAGTTTGGTTTGAGAGATTCAAGAACTGTAGTGGCATACACAGTGTGATAAGGCATGGTGAGGCTGCCAGTTCAGACAAAATTGCAGCTACAAAATTCGTGAGTGAGTTCAAGGAATACATAGAGGCTGAAAGACTGAAACCTGAACAAGTGTTGAGGTGTGATGAAACAGGCCTCTTTTGGAAGAAAATGCCAAAAGAGGACCTACATTACTCAGGAGGAAAAGGGACTGCCAGGACACAAGCCTATGAAAGACAGGCTGACGCTCATGTTCTGTGCTAATGCTAGTGGGAATTTCAAAGTGAAGCCGTTACTAGTATACCATTCTGAAAATCCCAGAGTGTTCAGGAAAAACAATGTTATGAAGAGTAAATTGTGTGTGTTTTGGAGATCTAATAATAAGGCATGGGTCACGAGGGAAATTTTCATTGAGTGGTTCAATGAAGTGTTTGGCCCTAGTGTGAAGAATTACCTCCTGGAAAAGAAATTGGATCTCAAGTGCCTCCTAATAATGGACAATACACCTGCTCATCCTCCAAACTTGGATGACCTAATTCTGGAGGAGTTTGAGTTCATCACAGTAAAGTTCTTGCCCCTGAATACCACTCCTCTCCTCCATCCCATGGACCAGCAGGTCATTTCAAACTTTAAAAAACTCTACACCAAAGCAATGTTAAAAAGGTGCTTTAATGTGACCTCAGACACTCACTTGACCCTAAGAGATTTTTGGAAAGAACACTTCAGTATTCTCCATTGCATAAGCCTTATAGGTAAGGCTTGGGAGGAAGTGACTACAGGACTTTGAACTCTGCTTGGAGAAAATTGTGGCCAGATTGTGTCCACAAGAGGGATTTTGAAGAGTTTGTGGCTGACCCTGATGAGCCTATGTCAGTTGTAAACTTTATTGTGGCATTGGGGAGTTCCATGGGGTTGGATGTGAGTTTGGAGGATGTGGAAAAGTTGGTGGAGGACCACAATGAAGAGCTAACCACTGAGGAGCTGCAAGAGCTTCAGCAGGAGCAGCATCAGATTGCAGCTCAGAATCTTGCTGCAGAGGAGGAGGAAGAGAGATGGAAGAAGGTGCCGCCTTCAGAAATTAAGGAGATTTTTGCAATGTGGGGTAGGATGGAAAGATTTATGGAGAAACATCACCCTGAGAAGGATGTTGCAAGCCATATCGGCAACTTGTACAGTGACAGAGTCTTGGCCCATTTTGGGGAAGTTTTAAAGAGACGCCAGAAACAGAGCTCTCTGGACACTTTTTTTTCATTAAGAAACAGAGAAGAGAAGTAACCCCAGAAAAGGATTTGGTACCTGAGGTGTTGATGGCAGGGGATTCCCCTTCCAAACAGTAACTAATCCAATCTCTCTCCTCCTCCAGTCTTCCATACACTAAGAAGAATCGCCAATAAAAGTAAGTGTTATGCTGTTAATTTTTCATTCATCATGTCCCATTGTATTGTTTATGTACTACATGTATATTTCATGTAAAAAAAAATTTTGTTTTAATACTTCTGGATGTCAGGAACAGATTAATTGTATTTACATTATTTCTTATGGGGAAAATTGATTCGAAAATCGTCTATTTCGATAATCGTCGCACTTCCAGGAATGGATTAACGACGATAAACGAGAGACCACTGTACAGTGGACCCCCAGTTAACGATATTTTTTCATTCCAGAAGTATGTTCAGGTGCCAGTACTGACCGAATTTGTTCCCATAAGGAATATTGTGAAGTAGATTAGTCCATTTCAGACCCCCAAACATACACGTACAAACGCACTTACATAATTACACTTACATAATTGGTCGCATTCGGAGGTAATCGTTATGCGGGGGTCCACTGTATTTGGGAGTGGATGTTTGAAAATTGAGAGCAATCATAACATAGATGAGGAAAAAATTGCATGTGGATCAAAAGGAGTGTATTAGTTGAGCAAAATGGAGAATATCAGAGTAAAATTAATCCAACACTTCTTTTATGGGTGTAAGGCATGATTTTTTCAATGCTGCAGTGAGGAGTTCAGAGGCAGTGAATCAATGATTGATTTGAACATTGTGCATAGAATAAGGATCATAGAAATTTGAAAATGTTGTGGCAGTATGAAAGGTGTCATTCAAAGAGCAGAGGATGGGTTGTTGAGATAGTTTGGCCATTTATAAAGGACGAAGTAATATAGGTTGACAAAAAGGGTGTTTAACTTTGGCATTGATGGAAGGTGTAGGAGACATCCCAAGGTGAGGTAGAGGGACAGTGAAGGAAGCTTTGAATAGTAGGAGCTTGAGCTTCTGGCAAGCTTGTTTACCGGGGATCAACGTCCCCACAGCCTGGTCCATAACCAGGCTCCTGGTTGAGAGAGACTTTAGATCTCAGATCAGTGGTTTTTGTGATTTCATGCCCTGTTGGAGTGAGAAAAGTGTCTAGGAAGGAACTCAGGGAAAATCAGTTAGCTATTTTTCTGGAAGTGGTAAGTGCAGTACTACTACTGCACTTAAAAGTTTGGGTGACTTTTGCAGTTTGGAGTGTCGTTAGATTTGTGACCCCCGGTTAACGATATTTTTTCATTCCAGAAGTATGTTCAGGTGCCAGTACTGACCTAATTTGTTCCCATAAGGAATATTGTGAAGTAGATTAGTCCATTTCAGACCCCCAAACATACACGTACAAACGCACTTACATAAATACACTTACATAATTGGTCGCATTGGGAGGTGATCGTTAAGCAGGGGTCCACTGTATTTATTTTTAAACTAGTGTATCATGTTCACATCTCAGTGTTTGTATTAAGATGTCAATTATATCATATTTTATTACACTAACAAAGTACCATACAGTATATTATATTAGCATAATTTAAATTTTCTTTCTAGTCTCTTTGATGGTTCGAGTTGATAGCCTAGAGAGTCAAAAGTCAGCCAAGAATTCTAAAACAACAATAGTGGGTACCAAGCTTTTGCGATTTGTTCCTGCAGGTGCTCAGTATTCATGCATAAAGTCCTCAGAGATTAAGGTAAAGTGAATGACTGAAACTTTTTAAATATTTCTTAAATTTTTCCTAACAAACTTAAAACTTCCCTTATTCTCTGAGTCAGGGTTTATCATCATTTACCAAGAGATGGAGGCCTGCAACCATGCTGCTTAAGCCACATAGTCATTGACTACTTCACTGCTGGAGTCAGCACACATTCCACGATGTCCAGCACTACACACAGTTGGTGGATTTTTGTGGCTCTCCCATTATAGACCATAAGCAGTGGCTCACCACTGATCACATGCCAGCAGTCACCATGCCCCAGCCATTGAGCCAAAGGAATAATCTATGAATACTCAGAGGAACCACTGATTGGGTCATTGTTGGACTATGACCTACGTTAGGATAATTTTCCTAGACAGTGTGACTCCCATTATCTGAGATGTGATTAGATCAACTTTAATTTGTTTGGGTTTGCCATACAACAAGTTTGTCTGTACTAGACTTGTGGGGGGACCTAATGTATTGGCATTGGTCTGAACACTGTACAGTATATGTCAAAATAAAGAAGGGCAAGAAACTTCATATCTTTGTCAAAAATTGGAAAACAAATGGTGAAATTTCATGCAAACCCAGGGTTTAATTCAGGATGGTGGATGGTTAATAAATATTTGATGTCAGGAAGGGGAAAATCTGCACATACTGAGGAAGAGTGAGTAGAGACATCCTTAATATAGGTAGAGTATTTGGGATACTGTATATTTGTCAATCATAATTCCTGTGTGGTTCATTGATCCAGAAAAACAAACCCTTATGTATGTTATTGTTTTATGCAGTAGTCACAGATATTCAGTATGGTAGTTTAAATATATATTAAACAACATATATACAACAATGTAAATCTTGTCAAGCTGCTGTAAGTGTCAGTAGTTCTGTCATGTATGCTACACACTGTTTATGTTTTAAATTATGTCAGATTATGTCACACTTTCTTATCTTCTCCCATCACACTTATAGATCCAGTTCTAGATTTCATAATTTAGTTTTACCTTGCTCTATATTTCTTCTATACTGTATAATTATTATGATGTCAGCTCTGCAATATTAATCTTGTATTGGTTTTAACCATTAGTTAGGCTTGAAATACTATCCAAAGGTGAAGAGAGTGGTGAGAGAGTGCAAAAGGAGAGCAGATGAAAGAGTGGGAGAGGCACTGTCTAGAAATTTTAATGAAAATAAGAAAAAATTTTGGAGTGAGTTAAACAAGTTAAGAAAGCCTAGGGAAAGTATTGATTTGTCAGTTAAAAACAGAGTAGGGGAGTTAGTAGATGGGGAGAGGGAGGTATTAGGTAGATGGCGAGAATATTTTGAGGAACTTTTAAATGTTGAGGAAGAAAGGGAGGTGGTAATTTCATGTACTGGCCAGGGAGGTATACCATCTTTTAGGAGTGAAGAAGAGCAGAATGTAAGTGCGGTGGAGGTACGTGAGCATTACGTAGAATGAAAGGGGGTTTAAAGCAGCTGGAACTGATGGGATCATGACAGAAATGTTAAAAGCAGGGGGGGATATAGTGTTGGAGTGGTTGGTACTTTTGTTTAATAAATGTATGAAAGAGGGGAAGGTACCTAGGGATTGGCGGAGAGCATGTATAGTCCCTTTATATAAAGGGAAAAGGGGACAAAAGAGACTGTAAAAATTATAGAGGAATAAGTTTACTGAGTATACCAGGAAAAGTGTACGGTAGGGTTATAATTGAAAGAATTAGAGGTAAGACAGAATGTAGGATTGCGGATGAGCAATGAGGTTTCAGAGTGGGTAGGGGATGTGTAGATCAAGTGTTTACATTGAAGCATATATGTGAACAGTATTTAGATAAAGGTAGGGAAGTTTTTATTGCATTTATGGATATAGAAAAGGCATATGATAGAGTGGATAGAGGAGCAATGTGGCAGATGTTGAAAGTATATGGAATAGGTGGTAAGTTAATAAATGCTGTAAAGAGCTTTTATGAGGATAGTGAGGCTCAGGTTAGGGTATGTAGAAGAGAGGGAGAATACTTCCCGGTAAAAGTAGGTCTTAGACAGGGATGTGTAATGTCACCATGGTTGTTTAATATATTTATAGATGGGGTTGTAAAAGAAGTAAATGCTAGGGTGTTTGGGAGAGGGGTGGGATTAAATTATGGGGAATCAAATTCAAAATGGGAATTGACACAGTTACTTTTTGCTGATGATACTGTGCTTATGGGAGATTCTAAAGAAAAATTGCAAAGGTTAGTGGATGAGTTTGAGAATGTGTGTAAAGGTAGAAAGTTGAAAGTGAACATAGAAAAGAGTAAGGTGATGAGGGTATCAAATGATTTAGATAAAGAAAAATTGGATATCAAATTGGGGAGGAGGAGTATGGAAGAAGTGAATGTTTTCTGATACTTGGGAGTTGAAGTGTCGGCGGATGGATTTATGAAGGATGAGGTTAATCATAGAATTGATGAGGGAAAAAGGTGAGTGGTGCGTTGAGGTATATGTGGAGTCAAAAAACGTTATCTATGGAGGCAAAGAAGGGAATGTATGAAAGTATAGTAGTACCAACACTCTTATATGGATGTGAAGCTCGGGTGGTAAATGCAGCAGCGAGGAGACGGTTGGAGGCAGTGGAGATGTCCTGTCTAAGGGCACTGTGTGGTGTAAATATTATGCAGAAAATTCGGAGTGTGGAAATTAGGAGAAGGTGTGGAGTTAATAAAAGCATTAGTCAGAGGGCAGAAGAGGGGTTGTTGAGGTGGTTTGGTCATTTAGAGAGAATGGATCAAAGTAGAATGACATGGAAAGCATATAAATCTATAGGGAAAGGAAAGAGGGGTAGGGGTCGTCCTCGAAAGGGTTGGAAAGAGGGGGTAAAGGAGGTTTTGTGGGCGAGGGGCTTGGACTTCCAGCAAGCGTGCATGAGCGTGTTAGATAGGAGTGAATGGAGACGAATGATACTTGGGACCTGACGATCTGTTGGAGTGTGAGCAGGGTAATATTTAGTGAAGGTATTCAGGGAAACCGGTTATTTTCATATAGTCGGACTTGAGTCCTGGAAATGGGAAGTACAATGCCTGCACTTTAAAGGAGGGGTTTGGGATATTGGCAGTTTGGAGGGATATGTTGTGTATCTTTATACGTATATGCTTCTAAGCTGTTGTATTCTGAGCACCTCTGCAAAAGCAGTGATAATGTGTGAGTGTGGTGAAAGTGTTGAATGATGATGAAAGTATTTTCTTTTTGGGGATTTTCTTTCTTTTTTGGGTCACCCTGCCTCGGTGGGAGATGACCGACTTGTTGAAAAAAAAAAAAAAAATCTCTCCTTCAAAGACCACAACAGTGTATCTACCTCATCCACTAGGAAAATGATAGGATGGATAATGAGAACCTTCAAAACTAGGGACGCCAAGCCCATGATGATTCTCTTCAAATCGCTTGTGGTCGGTAGGCTGGAATACTGCTGTACACTAACGGCCTCCTTCAAGGCTGGTGATATTGCAGACCTGGAAAGTGTACAAAGAACTTTCATGGCACACATAAGTATGATAAGGCACCTAAACTACTGGGAACGGTTGAAGGTCCTTGATCTGTATTCCCTTGAACGCAGGTGAGAGAGATACATGATAATATACACTTGGAAGGTCCTGGAGGAATTGGTACCAAACCTGCACACGAAAATCACTCCCCACAAAAGCAAAAGACTCAGCAGGAGATGCAACATTCCCCCGATGAAAAGCAGGGGTGCCACGGGTACACTGAGAGACAACACAGTAAGTGTCTGGGGCCCAAACTGTTCAATTGCCTCCCAGCATACATAAGGGGGATTACCAATAGACCCCTGACTGTCTTCAAGAAGGTACTGGACAGGCACCTAAAGTCAGTACCTGACCAACTGGGCTGTGGTTCGTACGTCAGCTTGCGTGTGGCCAGCAGTAACAGCCTGGTTGATCAGACCTGATCCACCATGAGGCCTGATCTCAGACCAGGCCGCGAGGCCATTGACCCCTGAAACCCTCTCCAGGTAAACTCCAGGTAAACACATTGGCCGATTACCACCAAGGCAGGGTGGCCCAAAAAAGAAAAACTCATCATCATTCACTCCATCACTGTCTTGCCAGAGGGGTGCTTTACGCTACAGTTATAAAACTGCAACATTAACACCCCTCCTTCAGAGTGCAGACACTGTATGTACCTCCCATCTCCAGGACTCGAGTGTGGCCTGCCAGTTACCCGA